GGGGGGGGGGGGGCGGGGGGGGGGGGGGGGGGGGCCAGCAATCCGGGGGGCTGAAGCGGGGGGCGGGGGTGGGGCACGTGGGCCCTGCAGGGGGAGGGTAGACCCTGCAGGGGCCATGTGGCCTCTATTGTGGGGGGGCTGTAGCCCTGTGGGGGGGGCATTCTGTGAGCTAAGGGGGGCTGCACCCTACAGGGGGCAGGGGACCTACTGCTCCTGAGCAGCTTTCCCCCATTACCCGCCCATGATCCACCCATACCTACCTACACATTCCACTGCCCCCCACATCCCTCCACATCCACTTCCACAACCTCTTCCCACCCCCCTTCTGCAAACACCACATTCTCCCAGCACACACCCTGCGTGCCCAGCTGCCAGACAGGATGAAACCTTGTGGCAGGAGCTGTGGCTGCAGGGACAGTTGTCCCCATATCCTGGTTAGTGAAGAGATCAGGGGGAGCTCTAACTGTTCTATGGTGAAAAAAACCCCCAAAAGCAAACAGCAAAACATAGGTATTTAGAATTAATTTTATTAGGATGATAAGAGACACTGGTAGGCTTCCAAATTACTTTAACACTGTAAATATATCAATAAAACATTGCCCAACTGATCACTGTCTCTCTGTCTGTTTCTCTCTTTCTCTCTGTATATAGTGGTCTTTTGTTTTAATTGTGGAGGAACATGGATTTCAGGGTATTTTACATAGTGACTATGGGATTTTTTTATCAGGGATTTTTCAGTTTTCAAATAGGGAACACCAGAATTCCTGCTAGGGAGGTGGCAGGACCCAGGCAGAGGAGCCTGCTCAGAGCTGGCACCTTGGACCCAGCTGGAGGTGGCTGACCTCCTGGCCAGTTGGGGCCAGGAGGACATGCTTTAACAGTTCAAAGTGGGCCACCACACTGGGAACATCTGGGCAATAGCTGCCTAGATGGCCAGGCAAGAGCACACATGGCAGTAGTGCTGCACAAAGGCCAACTCTGCAGCCACAGCCCACTGGCAGGGAACTCTCAGGGCTGCTTCAGTAGTCCAGCTGGCACAAGGGGGAGTGTCCCAGGTGCCAATTGGCTGGGCCCCAGAAGCTCCTGAGAGTGAGCAGCCCTGAGCTACTTGCCAGGGCAGCTTTTTGTACTGATGGGGCCAGAACAGGGCAACTTTTTATAAGTGCTGGCCCCAAGCTCTGGCTCCCCCTGGCTGTACATCTGGGAGGAGCCAGGCAGGGTTATTTTGCCCCAAGTAGCACAACTTGCACCACACCAAAGGGCAAGTCCGGGCACGTGCACTGAGGCAAAAAGCCCTGGCTCAAATTTCACCACTTCTATTTGAGCTGCTGCAAGCACACATGCCTGCATTTTTGGACATGCCTTAGAATATAAAACTAGAGGAGACCATTAGACTAAGGGAAACATATCTGACTTCTATATGTTACAGGCTTTTTAATTTCAATTTGTTACCCTGTATAGTAAACGGTATAACTTTAGTTTGACCAAAATATATTTTTGAGAAATACACCTGGTAGTTGCTTGAAAACTCCAAGAAATGGAGAATCCACCACTTCTCTATCAGTATGCATACTAATAGGTAATCATACTCACCTTATTTTTAATTTGAATTTGTCTGGCTTCAGCTTCTAGCCACTTGTTTTTATTTCTATTTTGTCTGCTGGAGTGAAGAGCCCTTTAGTATCTAGTGTGTTCTTGCAAAGTACACAGGGTAATAATATCTGTTTAATCTTTTTAATTAGCTAAATAGATTGAGTTCCCCAAGTCTCTCAAAGCAAGATTTTTTTTGTGGTATTTTAATCTATACAACCAAAGATAGCTGGTACGCATACTATAAAAGTTAAATCTGTGTTCAGATTTTGTTCAATGTGTGTACCATTGAGAAGACATTGGAAACAGTGGATCTTCTGAGCACTTATTTGGGGCTTGAGACAATTGGTCAGTTTCTTAGCTGCAGTAGCTTAGTATTGAGTAGAGCCCAGTGCAGTGCTCTCTTCCATTATTACAGTCACACTGTTACCAGTTGAAATTGCAAGAGAAAGATACAGTATAGGAACATTTATGTGTTATTACTTAACACCTGATCTGAAATGAGTCCCATCTCAAGTATTTAATCAGTTCCCTGTGAAATTAATAAATGCTTTTGCCTTTCATGAGAGTAAAATCGGCCATAAGAACTTTATGTAAAATTGCTTGCTGGACCTAAATATTTGTAAAGTCCTCTGTTTCTAATCAGTGACCTTCTATACATATTGATGTCAGTTTTAATATGTTTTTTTTTAACTTTTTAAACACTACATTAAAATAAAAGATTAACTCACCAAAACATACTTTTACTTATATTTAAGATAGTTAGAAACTAATAGAACTAAGAAAAATACATTTAAGGTTGAGCTTTAGTAAATACTGAATTCTTTTTCTCAATAGATACATTTCAAGCAGTGTAGTAAGGGCATGATTTCTGCCTGTGACCGCCGGGTCTCGAGTAGCCCGTCCCATGCTACTTTGGCTTGTGCACAGAGTGGTGTTCTACCTGTACCCTCCCCGACAAACGCCGTGCAGGTGTTCCCTCCGCAGGTAGCTTTCCCCTATCTCTCCTGCCACAACTTAAATGTTCCCTAGTGGTGGGGAAGGGGCTATCCCGGGTCCTCCATGGCACAGGGTCCTGATGGTCACTAGCGGGGCTCTGCCACCCCTACACCCCGTCCTCACACCACCTCAATGAGTTGGTCCGATTTTTGCAGCCCTGTACCTCTTCCTCTATTTCCGTAGAGCCTTGTGATTGGACGCCCCTGTTAGGATCCCGGCTTCCGCAGCCGATGGGCTTACTCCAACTTTTAGTTGTGGTAGTCGGCCTGACTCCCGGGCCTATACTATCCTAGGAGAAGCTCTGTCCAGACCTCAGCCCGGTGAGCCGTCTCATAAATTCCTCACTGCTTCTCCTCCTCCTCGATCCCTTTTCCACCTCTCAACCCCTTCACTCGGGGAAACTGAAAAGAAAAAAACCTTTCAACAGAGCCTTTCAACCTTTCAAAGAACAAAAAAAACCCCCCCTTCCCCAGGTCCCTTACCTCAGAGACCCTGGGTTCCAAGCTCCCTGCAACTTGGCTGGGAGCAAATCCCTACTCAGGTTTTCTTTCTCTTTTCTACTCCTTCTTTTAACTCTATAGTCTGGGCTACCTTGTTCCTCAGCCCCTGTGGTGTTCTTGTCTGGAGCCCGCTTTACTCTCCTGTAGGCGGTGGGATCTCCCTCTCACCTGAGATGGTCCCTTTCGTGCTGTGCTGTCTCTCTGGCTGCCTTTGTCATGGCTCGCTCCCCGAGCAAGGCTCTTCCTCTTCCCTCCGCCCCGCGCTACTCCCACCTGTGGAGGTAACTTCTGTGCAGCGTCTGCTGTTCCCCCTTCCCTTGGAGCTTCTGTCAGCAGACAGAGTCGCTTCCCTCTCGCCTCCGGCGTTATTATTCTGCTCCTGCCCTTTGAAGATATGGCGGGTGTCAGGAGCCTCCTTTGGCTCCTCATTCGCTGTTTCTTTCTCCTGGAGATAATCCTGGAAGAGACCTGGCGTCCCTGTACTCTCCAGGTCCTTCCTCTCTCCCCCTCTCCCTCGTTCATCGGCTTCCTTTATCTCCACTGTATGGGGCTTCCTCATGACGTCACTGGCCGGCCCCAGCTGAATAAAGGTACGGCTAATGAGCCATGTGGGCTTTTCCTTTGATTCCTGTTGCGTTGCGTCTCCTGTTGAAGGTAGGCAGATTTTCCTTATTTTTTCCTCCCTGTTTGTTTGTTTTTCTCTCCTAGGATGCTGCTTTACCCTGTTTTTTATTTTATTGTATCCTTTATCAATATTGGTTATGGAATATTGTTTATGGAAAAGTGAATACCTAATCCATTACACATTTGCTAGGAGGAAGTACTATGAAATATGTGGCAAATAGCGGGTCAAGTAGTTGCTGTAAAATGTAGGTTTAGAAAATAATTACACCTGATTTTGGCAGTTTATTTTAAAATGATTTAGACCTTTCCTTTGTTTACTTGTTTTGCACAGTTTGCTGAAAGGGATGAACATGTTCATAGATCACAAAGAGAAGAACTTGTATGTCAGAATCTACAGGAAGGTAGTTCAATTAAAATACTTGTTTTCACCCTTTATTGAAAACATTAATATTAGTGACATAAATGCTTCTGATTCACAGTAACTTTAGATTACAATTTGGCCACACGAGAAAATGTTTTACATATTTATTTTAATAAATGTAGGTCAAGTTTTTCCTTGTTGCTGCCTCTTAATCTAATTCTGCCACCAGACATCTAGTTATCAAGCTGTCTTATCCTCACACTAGTTGTTTATTTGAATATGAGGGAGTAGAAATTGTGATGACAAAGAAATATATATGTCCAGCTAAGCAAGTTTATTTTCCTGGAAGCCAGCTGGAGAAGTCATCACATGTTTCATAGCTGTCAATGACAGTCCATGTGCTAAGTCTAGGAAGCATCCAGGCTAGAAAACAGCTATTGAGTTTAATTTATTTGAGTTTAATTTATTTGAGTGCTCTCATCTAGACTTGTTTCAGATAAGAGAGATTTGAACAAACCATGTGATACTGAATGTATTACATGATATAGTTAAAGTTCAGGATCAAATTTTCAAATATGAATATTGATGACCTCCTGAGGTCCCTTCCAACCTTAATTTTCTATGATTCTATGATTCTGAGTTAGAGGACATACATTCTTGTTTCTTATGCCCCACACTAGCATTTATATAGAATATGTATGATCTTGATAACAAGCACTGACTTAAGGCTGTGCTAGCTTTTATTGTGTGTAATGTTAGAAGTTGGTTTAAAAATCTGATTTTGAGTGCGCGCGTTTCAGATGAACAGGATTAAAACTATGAATTTTAGTAAATTACTAATATTTTATTATAAAACCACTTGGTCATCACTCTTCTCATGAAAAGCTCATTCTGTTTGACAGTAAATGGACAGTGTACTGCAGAATAAAACTTAAGAGAAAAACTGATCAGATAGGGTTGCACCGATAGAGACTTTTGGGGCTGATATGATAGCTGATTTTTAAGGAGGCATTGGCCTGATACACAGCTCTTCAGCTTGAAGAGCTGTGTCCAGCTGGTTAAGTCTGGTATGGTGGAAAGGGAGGGAAGGAGTTGGGGGCGGGGGGGCAGGGCGGTGCAGATCAAGGCCCCTGCAGTGAGGGAATGGGGCTGAGGCTGGGACAGACGCAGCTGCTGACCAGCTGGGGTGGGGAAGAACATGGGGCAGAGCCGCAAGCAGCGGAGTTGAGGGGGTGGAGGTTGTCCCGTGGATCTGCATGGCGTGGGGCGGGCTGCAGCTGTGGGCTGGGGCCAGGGCTGGGGAAGGTGTGGGATAGAGGTGCAGCTTGTCAGGGAGGGGGGGGGGGCCGCCCCCTGCCACTGCATGTGGCTTGTCCAAGAGGGCATGCGGAGGGGCATGTGCCCATGGATCTGCCTGGCTGGGAGGAGCCTGACCCCAGCCTGCCCCACACAGATCTGGGGGCATATGCTCCTCCTCCCCCGTGCCCTCCTGGATGAGCTGCGCACGGTGGCGGGAGCTGCCCTCTCCTTCCCTCCCCTCCATTTCCGCACACCCCCCACCAAGCTGCTCCTCCATCCTGTGCCCACACCGGCCCCAGCTGGACAACCCTGGCAACCCCACACCCTCCCTCACCACAGGGGCCTTGATCTGCCCCCACACATCTGTCCCCTGTCCCCTTCCCTTTCCACCACGCAGACTTACCAGCTGCATGCAGCTCTCCATACTGCTGGCTCTGCTTCTCACTGCCTACGTGCAGCGCTGCAGCTGCATGCACGGACAGGCATTTATCAGACAAATCATTGGCTGCATCAGGCTGATTTCCAATACAGACAATTTTCTTTATATTGGTGCCGATCCAATATTGGGCCAATGTATCGGTGCACTTCTACTATCAGATATGAAAAACATGCTTTTGAATGTTAAAAATTTGCTGTTTTTGCATTAGATGTGGCTAATGTAGAAAATCAGAAGAGTATAACTGAAACATTGCGAGAGAGAGTAAGAAAGAAACTGAAAGCCGTCAAGGTAATAAATTATTTGGATCAAACTTGTAATTTATTGTTTAAATTGTATATGAAACCTAATATATTTCCATTTGTGTTGTGAAAGGCTGAAAATTTAGTCAGTTTAGAAGACTCCACTAGTATACCACACAGGGTAGAGTTCCTTGAAAAGAAGAAATTGGATACAAGATATGTAAAAGCTGTAAGTTAATTCAATTCTTGATTTTCCTCATTCTTCTAATTTTATTATTTTATTTAGAAAATAAGTATAATTGAATGTCTCTGTTTAGATTGTGCAAAAAGAAACACAGACTGATAAAACCTTCTCAGATACTAAAGTAGCATACAAAACTTTGGTGCAAGAATTCAGGTAAAGATATATTTTACAGATATGGTAAACAATAATGTTATAGTCATTTCAGTCTGAAGAAAGCATCACTGTTTAATGTGTGATAGAATCTCATTCACATGTACAATATTCCTTTTGTATTAATTCCTTGCTTAAGCCATTGCTGGCTAGTGAAAAAACAGCATTTTTTTAGTTAAATATGTACATAATACTTAAATTGACTACAATGGATATATCAAGTAAGTTAAATTGTTAACTTTTGCATTATTTGCCTTTTGTAATTTTACTATGCAACACAAATGTTACATTTTCAATTTATCACTGTTTTTGTTACTTATAAGGCTTAATTTTGCAGAGCAAAATGTTATGCATAATAGTTGAAATCCTGGCTCCTTGAAATCAGTGGCAAAATTCTTATAATTTCAATAGAGTCAAAGTTTGACTTAGAAAGTGGTGTATAACTTCATTTTGCTCATTCGTGTCTGAAGCTGACGTTAGCTAAGGTAACTGCCCACAGTAAGCATTACTACCAATTCTGACCACTAGGTAGAGGTGGAATCCGTTTGCATTGAACAAATGGCAACCCAGGGTGAAATAGACTAGAACTGCAGATATATGACCTGATTCAGTATGTCCAGAGGTGCCAACTTATCCTGCTCTGTGGGCCAGGTGAGGGTCACTAGGTTATTCTACAAGCTGGACCAGGACCAATATCCTGTGTTTCACCTGGTGCACTGGGTCCAGCCCAGATGCCTCACACAGCACATGCCAGCCCTGGGGCTTGCTGTGCACACAGCACTTGGGGCCAGCATGAGGCATGTAGAGCTCAGTGCATAGGATTGACCTAGTGCTGCAGGCAGCACAGGGAGTTGGTCCAGGACACAGCCTGCAACCTGTGCCCCAGACCACCTGTGTCATGTGCACTGCTAGATCCAGCCCACGCATCACAGGCGGCCCATTCCCCGTGCCAGCCCCATGTGCCATGTATGCAACAAGCCGTGGGGCCAACACATGCTGCATGTGGTCTGCAGGGCTGAACTGGCCACGTGCATTGCACATGGCATGAGGCCGGCATGGGCCATGCACTTTATGCGGAACCCCATTGGACTGGCTCTTCACAGTGGTTCTGGCATAGCTCAATTCCAACCAGTCCTGGAGCCAGCATGTGCAACTTGGACCCACCCCCTATGCTACATGCAGGGTGTATGGTGTGGTGTCCAACCTGGGCACAATATGTGGTGCACAGGGCCAGGCTCAGAGTGTGGGGTCAGTCCAATGACCCACAAGACAGATCACATGGTTCCACACGCCAGATGCAGCCTACAGACAATTTGCTTTACACCTGTGAGTTGGTCTGTAAGGTGCATCTATTCCCTGCTTTCTATCTGACTTCAGGCTAACATAGCTAACTACCTCTCTCTATTAGGCAGTGAAAATAGGAAAGTATTCGATTCAGATTTGGCCGATTCGGAGGACATTGATTCAATTAGGAGATTTGGATACCTGCCCTGAATCGATTCGGCAAAATCAGCTTCAGAAGATTTGGCACTGATTCAGAGAGGTTCGGTGATTTCGATTGGCCGGGGAGAGGCAGGCACAGCTAGGTGGCTCCTCTGGCTGGGCCTGCCTC